GCAGCATTTTACATTTCATATGGAAGTGTGTGTGAGCACAAACAAGTTTGTTCTGTCTGGAAAATTCAGAAAAAATCAAGAAGATATGTTTTATTAATCCCCAGTGGGGAAATTCTTTTTTTACACACACATAGGCCTGAAATACAATCAAGCACACGTATAGACATGCAAAGGTAGAGAGAAGGTTGAGTGATTAGGAGGAGGAACTAGACTAATCAAATTAAAATGATAAACACCAGTATTGGGAATACCTCCAATACTGCTTAAAATGCGGGATCGAGTAATTAATAAGAAACAAAGTTGGGCAGGTCAGGCCATCCTGCCACTGGTTGCCATTGGGCTGAAAACTATTAATTTAGACCAGCAAAGAAGAGTTCAGGGTTCCCATATATTCCTGGAAAACCTGGAAATTTGGAGACAATTTTTCCAGTCATGGAACATAGGTGCATATTTAGTTTGAAACTAAACTGTTAGTAGGCTAAGCTGTATTCTATGACACTTCAAAGCCAAACACAGAACGGAAAAACTCGTCCTTCTCATTATGACTTCCATGTCACTAAGTCTAGCTCTTCACACCAGACATGAAGCGTAGGAATTCTTAGAGAAGCTCATTGGAAATGTTGAAATGGTCATTATCTACATGCATACAGCATGTTAATGATCAAATTTGTGTTGGTGGTTTTTAAATACATGCACAGCAATGTTAACTGTATGTGCAGCAAACATGTTGGCTGTGGTGAGAACAGTTAAGCACGCCACGAAAGCCAGCTAACAATGTCAATGTCTTAATAAACACCTACCACCTACCTATAATGTACCTGATACACTTCATAATGAACCCTGCATCATTAAACAAGGAGTCAATACTAGGCCTGCCGGTAAATTATATGACCATTTGTGAGCTAGTGCTGTCGTGTATTGCCAAGAAAATGTCCAGGAAAGATCCTAGAAAAAGGATTTCTTAAAAAGAGTGGGAACCGTGGAGTTTCAGGTAGTGTAATGTTAGCCTGAGCTAGCTAAATGTCAGCAATTTGACTGACTAGATAATAAAGGAAATTTATATGGCGTTCCTTCTCTGTATGTTTTTGTTCATGTTTTACAAAGGGTTTAACCTGAGCCAAAACATACAACTATGATAGCAATCATACAAGATTAGTAGTATACAGTTAAATAAATAAATAATAATAGTGGTGATCATTTTTTACGCATTTGTATTTACTCAGATAGATAGATAGAAAGATAGATAGATAGATAGATAACTTTATTAATCCAACAATGGGGAAATTCACTTGTCATTTGGAGTGAAATGAGAATACAGACTCATACATGATAGTAAAAAACGGACCATGTTGCTACAGCAGGTCCAGAGGGTCTTATTGTCTCTGGGTGGATACAGTCGTGACGAAACTGGGTGGTGGGAGTGTGGACGAGAGAGAAACGTGGTTTAAGTCAAATCATGCAAATCGTACACATACCCAGATAGATAGAGATTTTTAGGCATTAAAATGTAAAAAAATTGCAAAAATTACTTTAAAAAAAAATATATGACTTTGACAGGTCTTAAAAAATGATTGGATTACTGAAGTTAACAATACATCACATTGCATTTTTCAGTCTCCCTTTTTAAATGTGTTTTTGGGAAAAATCGGTTTTGCTCGTGCTGTAACAACTATAAAGCAAAACCGACATGGAACCAATACCGAGTTTCCTTTCCTGCCTCCTTCATTTTCCCTACTTACATTTTGCTAACTTAAGTATCTACTAGGAAGTGGTGGAAAAGCTGAAAGAAGTGTGTCACTTGGAAAAATGGATTGCTCTCTGGAGTTTTGGAAACATTCACCACAACAAAATGAAGGTTGAATTTAAGGGTGAAATGGCAAAGAATAGCGGTAATGTTAGTAGTCATTGTATAAAATGCGAGACAGTAATGGGAATAACATTAGCATTAGTCAGTATGAAGCACTTTGAATGTTGTGTTGTGTGAGTTTGTGCCAAGCGTGTGAGAATTGTATATAAGTACTGTTTGCTCACAGTGGCAGCTGCTCTAGCTACTCATTACAGACACAAAGTCACTTTTCATTATGAGCACTAAATGTCAGTGAATCACTGTTTATTCCACAAGGAAACAGGAATGGGTGAGATGTCACATAAGCTGTGTGTGGGCATAAGAGAATGTATACCAGAGGAAAAGATTTGGAAAAAATATGGTTGCGGATGGTAGAACGGTTTATTCCATTTCCAAACACCCACTAAGCTTTGGCTCTTCAACTGACAGCCCACAGGCTCAGTCCTCGCCGTCATTGCTGTCTAACATTTCTCTCTGAAATCTCTCATAGGTGTTAAGTTGGGTTAAGGTCAGTTGACTGTGAAGGCCATTTTAATACTCATCAAACCATTTAGTGAGCCCTCATGTATTAAAGCATCTGCATTTTGCCCTGCAGCCAGTAGCAACAGCTACTATTACAGCCCATCAGTCAGTCACTGTTGTGGTCAACAGGGTGTATGTAGGGTCTCAAATAGTCTTCAAGGTCCAGTGTGTAAGATTTAGGAGGCTCTATTGGCTTGAATATTCATAGATATATTTCCACCTGAAAGTAAGAATCGTGTTTTCATTACCTTAGAATGAGCTGTTTTTATCCAAAAAAGGTGCGGGTCGCCTCCATGGAGTCCGCCATGATGAACTGCCATGTTTGTGCAGTAGCCCAGAACACTGGCCCTACATAGGGCCTTCCTTCCTTCTGCAGTGTTTGGTGGCCGCTGTAGTTCCTCCTTCACGCTTGGAAGGGGAGTGTAAAGCAAGAGTGTTGCAATATTGAACTACACCGTTAGATGCCAACACTTTTAAAAAGTCTAAAATCCAATAATCTGAATTGTGAATTGATGCATATTTTGTGTTGTCCATGTAATACAATATATTAAACATAAGATATTGTCTCTCCTATATTCTATGTCTTTGTCACCGTCTCAGGTTGTCCACCACCCAGAATGTAAACAGCTCATATTGTGTTGGCTCTCCTAAACAGTACCAGCTCTGTCCCAACCAGGTATGATGCTATGCTAATATTGATAATATACTTATTCATTCTCTATTGACTCCTTAAAATTAAAATACAGAGGTTATATGTGTGTGTATGAAGTCTGGCTTAGGCTACCTTCGGGGAGACATTTTTTACTAAAGACGAATTGGGGACAGCTTGTTCCATTGGGGACCAAAGCTGTGTGCTCAATTAAAAAAAAAACAATACTTTTTGGGTCAATGGTTAAGGTTAGGGTTAGGCAAGTAATGGTTATGGTTTGGGTCTTCAGTGAAATAAATGTAAGTCTATGTAATTTCCCCAAACGTGACCTAGTGAACATGTGTTTTTGTCTGTGTGTTTTTCAGCCCTGTCCCAGCCCCAGTGTTAGCTTCAAACAGCACCAGTGTTCCCAATTCAATTCTAAGGCCTTTGGAAGAAGATACTACCAGTGGATACCTCTATATCCAGGTATATTCTCAATCTGTCAGTCATTCTTCTGTCAATCTTTAACACAGCCAAAGGAAACCACAGTGTCTTGGTATGGACGCTGTCTATACTCTTCATTAAAGGACCAGTGTGTGGGATTTTAGTGGCATCTAGTGGCGTAGTTGCCGATTGCAACACCCTCGCCTTACCCTCCTGTTCTAAGCGTGTAAGGCAGGTAACCTGTGTGTAGCCATTATACACCAAATAGATTTTCTTCAAACATTTGTCTACTAAAATGTGTGTCATGTTACTTCCTGACCTTGTGCATTTTCCACTATATTTTACTGAACCTCTCGGAGGAAAACAGAGAATTTCATAGTGCATGGACAGATTTATTAGCTTTCGTCACCAATGCTGCTGGCTTACTGGCACTTCTGGAGTGAGAAATTAGCGTTATGAGGCTCAACTGTGTTTGTTTTATTATGCCTTTTGATAGTAAAGGCTAGCCCCTGGTGTAGGAGAACTATGGTGGCTGTGAAATACACAAGGCCCTATTTAGAGCCAGTGTTTGTTTTGTCCATTCTGGACTACTGTAGAAACATGGCGGACTTCATGAAAGAGGAACTGCTCCCTCTGTAGATAAAAACAGCTCATTAAGGGAACGAAAATTCCATTTCTGACAATAGATCCTCCTAAATGTTACACACTGGACCTTAAAAAAAAGGTTGGCCTTTGGTTGGTCATTTTTGCATTTAATAGTAGGGTAAACACAGGTGTTACCAATTATAGTAGCTATGGGTCCGTTCCATTCAGGGTGCTGCTATTGTGCATGTTGGCTCACTGGAAAGATTCTGCTTCTCTAAATGTAACGTACCTTCATTTATTGCTATCACCTGTGTTAACCAGACTTCCTCATGTCAGAAGAGCTGCTGTGAAAAATATGTTGTCAATGGAGTGTCTCCTGATAATCATTGAGTTTGAGTGCTTACATGGAGTATTTCAAAGTGTTACAGCAAGTGTGAAAGATTGACTTCACTCATTTACCACCTTCAGTTAAAACTGCAGTAGGCAACTTTGCATTGGGGCAATCCCAAATAATAACAAGACATATGCTATATTGTAATGTCAATAAAGTAAATCTCTTTTTAAATATGCAATTTCCTGTGTAGCTGATTACATCAGCATCTCCAATAAGCCATGTGACCTGCAGTGTACAACCATCAGTGGTGAGCGACAGCTGCTAGTCCCCGCCCACGATGGTACCTTCTGCCGCGATACCAAATACCATGGAGTCTGTATAGAAGGAATATGTCAGGTAACCAAACAAGAAAAAATTTTAATTTCATTATTTTTCTGTGGAATTGATTTAAAGCTGCAGTAGGTAACTTTTCTAAAAAAAACTTTTTGTCATATTTGCTGAAACTTAAATTATACACTGACAGTAGAACATTAGAGAGATAATGAACAACCTAACGGTCTAAAGTGCTTTAAATTTAATTTCTCCTCCTCCAGCCTGTAGGCTGTGATGGGGATCTGTACAGCAGTAAGACAGTAGACAGATGTGGAGTATGTGGAGGTAACGGGACGTCTTGCCAGCGCGTCTCTGGATCATACAGGAAGGCACTCACACAGTTAGGTAACACACACACAAACACACATGTAGACAGATGTGAATATGAGTATTAGGATAAGGATCAACTTATCTGGTGTTAAATTCGGTTACAATTGCACTCAGCTCTTTCATCCAATTTCACTGTAATTAATGTTTGTGTTTTTGGCAGAATGTCTTTTCACAGAAGCCTGAAACTGTTAGGATGATGTGGGATGGGTTATACGATTGCGATTTGGCGCCCCCAGTTTCAGGGTGCAGTACCACTGTGGTAACTATGGACAGCTGTACTCGTGCTTACTTATGATCAAAAACTAGTGAGTCGACAACTTTGCTTAAACAGCCAAACATCAAGCAAGTACAACAATACAACACTAACATTACTGACTAGTCCAACAGCAAGAAGGCCAGCTTGCCATCTGTCTGCAGCCCTTTTTTTCACAAAGCTCTCGCCAACAATAAAAGCCTCATCACTGTCTCTTTTTCTCTTCTTAGCTTCCTCCGTCAGTGTCCTTTTCAGTCTCTCCCAATCTGCTGTCCTCTGCCTCTGTTGAGCTTGGTAACATTTACCTGCTCCCCCAGCTCTGGGTCTGAGGCGGATCAGCCATAGGACATCAGAGGGAAAACTAGAAAACATTTTCCCCATGAAATATGATACACTTTACAAAATCAATGACATAGTCAGTATTGTGCTGTAAAGCGTTACACACAACCGATCCACAACCAAAAGTTAGTTTAAGAACAGGTGTACAGGGCGCAGATTGGGAATGATAGAGGCACCATTCACCCGATTACTCTGTTGGTGAATGCTGCTGGTGTGCACAGTCACCAGGAAGATAGTCTGGCTCACAGGAAGTAAGCTGTTTTGGCCAACTATTTCAGTTGATATTCCCCTCCCCTGTCTTCTGACACTATTTTGCAAGGGCACCGTCGTTCATCCTGTGCTCAGCACTGCCCAAGACAATTGTTATTGGGTTAAAGAAATACAAACAAGCCAGTTACCCTCTGCAACCGTCGGTTCCCCCAGCACCCATCCTAGCACAACAAATCAATTGACAAACACAAATGTATTACTTTATCGGCTGCACACACTGTCAACACAAATACTCAGCTTCTTTAGCTAATTCCAAGGCTTCTTTAGCCTTTTTCCAAAGTCCACAACAAGCAGCCAGGTCCAGCATTTAGAAGGTAGAAAGTCATTACTCAATGAGCACCAGCAATCTCCACAACTCTCACTTTCCTGCAGCTGAGTGTAAACCACACCCACCTTCACACCCCTATACCAGAATGATAACGGGTCCAGCCAGACCGTTCTTCAACGTTAACACAGCGCTAAAAGTGTACCAGGAAGAGAAATGTGCAGCCATCCAATGAACGAGATTTGGATCATGTGATTGTTTAAAAAAATGTAATGCATGTAATTTGTCTCCTGTGTTTCATCAATGAAAATAAAGAGAGATTCTGTTACAGTTTTTATTTTTAAATTCCATTTTAGTAATATTTTAGGTACTTTTTGTTTCAGCTACATTAGGATTTAGGCACAGTTATTCTTCAGCATCTCGTCTTCGACATGCAAAAAAGACCCCTGACTAATATATATTTCATCACAGTTTTCCCAAATAAAATGAACACTATGCTGAAATCACAAAAAACATATTTTTCATATTTTAGTATCAACCCATGTAAAGCGGTTTGGTTTTAACTGTCCAGGTTTTGACTTCCAGGTCGGTACAACTGAGGTGAATGCAATTTATGGTGATCAAAGCATAAAGAAAACATTGATAGAAAATAGTTGCCCCAGCAAAATCTCTGTCTTTTTGTTCCAAAGTTCCCTGATGACAGTTTATAACATACAGTCGTGCCAGTGTTTAAAGTAGGTGTTTTTATCATCAGGCTACGTGTTCATCACCAACATCCCGGCTGGAGCTTCAGACATTCAGATCATAGAGAGACATAAGACTGAGAACATCCTGGGTGAGAACCTACAACTTCTTTAAGGTCAATAAACTGAGTAAAGTTTTAAATTGACATTTGAAGCAAAAAAGAACCAAAACTTGACATTTTTGAACATCCGATTGAACCATTTGAGATATGGTAAATGGTCTTTCCAAAACAAGAACAAGTAGCTATTGAACGTACCACTATATTTAAAATGACTTTCTTTCTGTGGGTTTTTTGGGTTCTGACCCAGTTTTGAATATCGTTGTCTTGATCCCCCCCCCCCACCGATGTTTCCCCTCCTATCTAGCCCTCTCAGATGAAGCTGGTCATTTCTTCTTCAACGGAAACACAGTGTTTGACAATCCTCAAAACTTCCGTGTGGCAGGAACAGTGTTTAAATACAGACGTCCAAGCAATGTGTTCTCTGATGGGCTGGAGTATATCATTGCCCAGGGACCAACACTTCATGGCCTGAACGTTATGGTAGTACACTCACACACACACACACACAGGACAAGTATATGTGTTACTATAATAAAGAAGGGATTGTAATTCCAGTAAAAAGTAGTTAACCTGTGATTTTCTCTTTGGACATGAAGTACTACAACCTGAACGGGAAGCTCCCCCACATTACCTACGAGTACACCGTCTCCCACATGTCTCATGACATCACAGCTGCAGAGGGCATCACCAACGGCCCCTCCCACTCCCACCTTAACCTCACCTATAACGAGTTAAATGAGGAAGTCAGAGGGGATCAACTTAGAGCGACCAATCACAGCAGGGGGAGTGTGACGACTGTCCATCAACTGCCAGCTCTGGCGAGCTGATACCAAATCAGACATCCTGCTGCAAGAGAAAGAAAAGAGGAGGAAAGAGCAGGAGAGAGGAGGAAATAGTGGGGGATCAGGAAACCCAGCCCCCCCACCAGCTGCCATGTTAGTCTACAGACCGGCTGATGTCACCAGTCACGTATTCAGCCATAATGATCTTGAGGAGCGAGGACCTCCGGTGCCATCTGCCTACCGTGAGTCAGAGATTGATCTGTCTTCTGATAATTGAACCTTATACTGCCAATAGGAAGTGTTTGAGTGCAAGTCATTTAATAAGTCAGCTGACAGAAAATTAATCAGTTTAGATCTAAAAATCTGCTTTTTTGTCAGTTTTTCAATCTGTCCATCTGCACAGCAATTCCAGAGCAAGATATCTTGACTTCTGACCACTACAACTGCTTTGTGGCTCGAGCCCAACTGATATGGGATTTTGAGAGTGAGATACACGCTCAGAAAAGAAAAATATTTAAAATTGGTTTAATTTAAATATTCTTTTAACATTGTCATACCAATTTAATTGTTGAGTTGTTGAGATGAGTTTAATGATAATGTAGTGTTTTTCATAAACACATAGCATACACAAACATTGTTGATATGGATCCCATACATATGTTTTTTTCATATCTTCCCATTCTGCAATTTCTTGTTACTTATTGGCCGACATGTCTGATATATCTATGATAAGCTAATGGCCAGTGTATCATCCTTTTCTGCTGTCACTGTCCATTTTACAGATTTGGAACATTTTTAAAAAGTGCTGCAGCTCCAACTGATGCTTTTTAGAAACAAGCCACTTTTACACTGTCCAAACAGCACATCTTTTGGAGTCTATTCTCATGGACTCTGTTTGTTTTTCTGTTTGTTAAGGAAGTTCCTCCAACTCAGTTGACGAGCCATCAACTGCTAATGACAACACTCTACTGCTCTCTTTCCCAGGTAGGAAAGATGAGACATTTCACAATACTTTAAAATGTTTTATTGAAATAACAGGGAATTTTGTGACTTTTGCCTCTGTTCAGTACTGAGTCAGCATCACTACTAACTGCTGTGGGATATGCCTCAGTATCACAAATCTTCTAAACATAGAGGCTGGATAGGATGAGAATGAATGGGAAGACACTATGCCCTATTCAGACTAGGGATGTGTATTGGCAGGAATCTGGTGATATGATGTGTATAACAATACAGGAGTTCAATATATTGCAATACTGTAAGCAAGGCAATATGTCTTAAGGAAAGTTTTAAAGAACACGCCAATATATGCATAAAAAGAGTTAAAATAAATGTATTACAGTCCCTGTAACATCCAGCATTATACTGCTGCACTATACTACTATGTTTACAACACTGTTATAATCCATACCATATCACAAAACAAAATATTGCAATAAGTGTAACAAATTCAAACACACAGACTCAACAGCAACTCCAGCGTGCTGTTCTGTAGCTGTACCTTGACTGTTGACCTCAGTGGGAAGTAAAGAGACCATGAAAATAACATTTTAAACAAAGAAAAATAAATATATTTAAAATAATAAATTTGTTTAGTGTAACAGCTATTACAAAAGATTAGTTCTAGACATTTCTTTAAAATGTATCAGAAATTTGTAAAATAAAGATGTTTAGTATAGCATAACATTGAGTTATCACATTATAGTGTATCAGTTAATGTAAAACATATCTGTATTAATAAAACCCTACATTTTTTCATATCCACTCCCAGGTGGTCAGAGTGTTCATTCTGCAGCCCTGCCAGAAGACACCCCCTATCTGCTACTGGAGGATTTACATTACAACCAGACACACTCAAACACACACTCCCTCACACACTCAAACATACAGTCTGTTAAACACAGGCTCACCGATCCACATTCACCAGCAGAGACACATGCAGAAACATTGTCTACCACAGACACAGAAATACACACGGACCCGCAGTTGGAAATACACTCAGATATGCTGACCGTTACTGACGCACACGCAGAAACAGAAATCGGCACACACTCAGACACACACACTGCCATCCTGGTACAGCTGCAACAGGTGTCTGCAGTCGGGGTGGCCAACACTGAAAGGTATGAGGGAGCAGCTGTAGAATAGATATCTGCATGTCATTTCATGTAATTCACTACACATTTATGCCACAATGTTCAAGTGCTCGAATCTTATTATAGAACGCTCACATAATCCTGATTATCATTCTTTTACTCTGGACAAGTTGCATACTGGACCAGGACTGACTTCCTAACTAT